CTACAGTGGTTTTTATTGAACAATATTGCAAAATCAGATACCACAGGGCTGAGGTGATGCAAGGAGTGCAGAGATTTGATTCACAAGATTAAAATCCAGATGCTAGAATCCAGTGAATCCCAAAAAAGTTTCTCTTAGACAGTCAAATAGGAATACTAGAGTAGCATATAAAGTTAATTCTCTATTCATATCACATTGGCAATTACTTTAAGAACATGTTCTGTTCCAGCTTCTACTCTTCAAAAAATCACATTAAGAAAATTAGAAATAGGTCAAAAAGCTGACAATAAAAACCAGATGGATGAAGAAAAAAATTAAGAAAATCAATCCATTCATATAAAGTAAAACTAGAAGGTATTTTGATCATGGTATATCAAATTCCTGGATCAGGACAACTTTTGCAGGAGTAGAACATCCTCCAAGAGAGATATATTAAAATCCAACGGTTGGGAGCTAAAGTAAGATGAACTCAAACACAAGGCTGATTTGGGTTGGTTTGTTTGTCTGTTTTGTTCTGGTGTTTTTTTTGAGATGACTATAGTTGCTCAAGTAACTTACCTAACAGAGGTGACCAATTCTTTTTCTGAAGTTCTAAAAGCAGTAGCATTCTCTTTTCCTGAAATATATGCTTAACTTCTTGACCTTATGCTTCTGATGTTGAAAGCAGCTGGTGAAGTATTATGACTGTCATATGCAGAAAAGCAATCAGATATGAGTTCCCTCTACCAACAAATGGAAATTTGAGCCTCTAATGGCTCCTACCACTGAAACCTGTTTCAATGGCTAACTTGTCTTCTACTTCTGCAAGCCTTTCGTCAAATATTGGCAGCACTCACTGTTTTTAAAGCAGTAGTAGGTGCAGCTCCCTCTCCAAGGAGAAACATTTGGCTCTGTGTGCAAACCTTTGCTGATTAACTGGAATGAGTTGGCACAAACTAAAAACCCAGGAAGGCAGGAAGAACTTGGGAGACCCATACTGCAGCCCAATTCCCCACCAATGGAGAAACAAAGGAATTCTGTTTCCAGAAGCATACACAGAGAGAGATTGGAATGAGTCAACCAGCTGCATCTGGGGAATTCAATGCAGCTGTTTGCTGGAAGGAATCACTCTTCAATCAGATACAGAGGTATATGTGACACAAAGAATATGGCTTCTGATTCTTTCATATGATCAATTGCTATATTAATGGTGACTCAAAATCTTGAGACACTTGCCAATGAAATACTAATGGTGGATGAAAAGACAGAGAAGGGGAAAAAAAGGCCCTTGGTGGAAACAGAGCAGCCCCAGTTGCAGAGTTAGTGCAAACAACAGTGGCTTCCCAAAAGCCATTTTGGTGACCTGGAGTTTTAAAGCACTCAGATGCTGCTGGTGGAATGAATCTTGGCAGTGGGTTTGTCATGGAGAAGATTCAAGCTGAAGAAATGATTCTTGCAAGTGGTAGAACCCTACAGGTTAAGGCAGAAAACATTCAAAATCTTAAAATACACTGAAAATTTGAACAGGTAACATACTGCAGAGATTAGAAGAAGAAAAATAACTCAGGAATATGCCCCCAAAATACACGCACAGATGATTACCTTTGCTTCAGCCATCAGTCATTTGATACTCAGTCTCACTAAGGCTGTTTTATGAGAAAACTTTGCAAGGTATTGTGTAGGCTCACAATTCTCTGTTTAGCACCAAAAAAATCCAGAGATCCTGCAAGAAGGATCAGGCTAAAACTCTGGAAGAACGCATTTAATTCAGATACAGGGAACAGGAAAATGACACTATATTTTTTATATATTGTATTTAAAATGTTTTAAATACAATATGTTTATGTAAATAAGTTTTTTAACTTTTTGTTTGTTTGTATTTAGCATGTTTTTATATATTGTATTTTTAAATAAAAGGCCTGCTGGTTGAGTCCCCACGTAGGTAGAATTCTTTTAGAATTTTGAAAGCATGTGCCTCAGTCAGGACACCAGGACAAAACTGAGGAAGTGTTCAGGTATTTCATTATATTAAAACTTCCAAATTCAACTAGAAACTGATAAAACAACTGTCGGATTGATTTTTCTAGTATGAGTAACCTTTTTAAAACCTCAAACTTAAGTGCAAGCTCAAAGCACTTATTTCACAAGTAGATATCTTATTTGTGAAAAAGCTGCTTTGTTACAGTAACTCCAAGGCTCACCTAAATCAAGCCTCACAACTAAGAACCTCAATATGCATGTAAAAGAGCATATATTTACCATAAACAATGAAAACCCAGAAAGGTTTGTGTGCAGAGTGCTTGCAAAATAATTCCACTTGTTGCTCTAGTATAAGAGCACTGAAGAACAGTAGCTTCCCAGTTATCCAATCCTTCTCCAGAGATTCTCACAACAGAAGAGTGAACTGTGCATTTTTAGCTTATTCCTTATGATTTCGAACATGCACTTGTAAAGAACTCCTGGGAGAGGCCCCGTATTAGGGAATCACAGGTATCCTGGTAAGCACAAACCTCTGTGCAATGTGTTCTATGCACCTGTGTTTATAATATAAATATGCACACATGCACAGAAATTAGAAATCTTTCCCCTTTAGCGTAACCATGCTGGGTCTCAAATTTCAGCTCTCTGATGCTCCAAAGATCTCTGAAAAAACAACACTTGTCTTTAACATGAGAACAAACTTAGGTCACAGGCAGGGTTGCTCAGTACGAGGCACTGCCATGGCAGTGCAGGCTGGCCCCAAGGTCAGCCCCAGGGCACTCAGCACCTTCCCTGCTGCCAGCCACAAGGGACCACAGTTCCACCAGGCTCCACTCCACCTCCTCACACCATGTCTACATGCTACCGGCAGGGAGGAGGGAACAGAATCCACTGGAAAAGAAATGGCAGCTGAAAGAGGGACAAATAATAGGGAGTTCAGGATGCTAAAGAAGAGGGGAGACAGCTTCGGGCTCCCTGCCCCAAGAAGAGCTCTCCACTACTGCCCCACTATCTGCAGCTACTGTTCCTCCAACCTCACCACCTCTGCCACAGGCATGATCCACCCTTCAGCTGTGAGCACTTGTTTTCTTCCCCAAGGCAATACACTAACAAGCCTTCCCTGGCTCTCTCCTCCCCTCTTTCTTTCTGAAAACCACAGACAGGAGAGAGATCAGCTAGGAAAAAAAAACCAAAACCAAAACAAAAACAAGCCTTAAACCAGTGCAAATGTGAAATACAAGGTAAAAAAAAAAGGTTTTTTGCTATTACTGGACATGCTGCAGACATTGTGCCTAGTAACTGTGACAATATCTACTGCAAAAGAAACTTAGCACGAATCTTTTGTTTTCAAATGACATTCAACAAAAACATGCATAGGGAGAGTAAAGTTATTTTATTAAATCATGCACATCACGTGTGTTAGTGCAAATAGTTTAATCTGTACTCCAGAAATTCTATTGTATTTTTATATTTTTACAAAATAGATTTAAAACAATTATTTACTTTAAAAAATGTAATTCTGAATTTAAGCATTTCAGAACAATATTTGCAATAACCTATATACAAGAGGTACTAAGTACCACTGGCATACGAGTGTTCTGTGGTTGGGTGGCTTCCTGTAACTGAAAAGGATGAAATGAGTGAACTAAATGACAATATTTATTTTCTACAAGTGACTTGTGGACTATTTTTCCCAACTAATAATCCTCCCATTAGCAAATTCCATGAAACTTAAGATAGAACCTGTAATCAAAGGACAATGACCCTTAGAAACTCACAAAGAAAATTATATGCTAAATTTCTATTTAAATATTTAGACTATCTGTCGATTGCCGTAACATTCCTTAAAGCCAATTCAATTGCTGAGAATACCTCCCTGTTTTGAAGTTTCCTTTAGCGGAGCCATTTTACTTTACCATTCTTTAACATATTATTTAAGTCTTTAATAAACTTTTTTTGACAGAACTGTTGAGCTGAACAAGACAACTACAGTCTACGTTTAATTCAGCGCTAACTACAGTGATTCCCACCAAAATTCAGCAATAGTTATCGTATTTAGATCAGGAAAATAAACTTTATAATGGGGACCACTGCATCATACTTACAGCCATGTGATGAGAATGCACAAAATTTTACTACCAAATTAAAATCATCTTTACCTGACAACACTTCACCAGGTATGTGATTCCAATTTTGTAGTATTTTATGTATCTTAGATCTTTTTCAGCTAATCACAGATGTACTGTAGCATTTCTCTTAATAAAGTTACATCAACAAAACCTTACCTAAAGAGCTTCTCCAGCTCAAGTCAGAAAGTATCAAATGACTGAAGAAATAAATTGATACATGTGATATGTGAGAAAGTTTTTGTACTTTTAAAGGATGTATCTCTTTAAATATATGACATTTAATAAATTACATTCAAACTAAAGTTAATGTAAGTTGAATCACTGCACTATGTCCATCAAATGTCCAAGTACTTGCTCCCAGAAATACCTTAGTTCACTCAAGAACACACACGTTTACACTCGTACTCTAAATACTTCAGGCTGGTCTTCACCATCAGTATCTCTCTCTCTTTAAGGCTGGACATGAATTGTGTTTATTCCCAAAAAATCCTTAATAAAGTAATCCTTATCAAAGAAAAATATGCTTCCTTAAAATGGTGTGATAAGTTTTCTTAAGTCTTGTTCCCAACAGCTCAGTGACTAACAGCAAGTAAAATGGTATACTAGTTTTTTTTTTTTTGTTTGTTTTTAAGGAAAAAAAAAAAAAGGGAAAAAAAGAAATCATACTGAAAGGCACTGAGCACAATGCATCTGTTTTCCAAGCATCTGCAAGGTTACTTGGCTTAGGTGTCCAAATCAGAAACATTTTTTTCCTTTTAAATCTGGCAATCAGATTCTAAAATGTCCACAACTCTAGCCATTATAAATAATTTGGTACCAAGAAGCCTACTTTAGGCCACCATTATAGTATTCAGAATCCCAACATACTAATTTAAAACTTGCATGAAATTGTAAGCAAAAATATTGCTCACAGTATGATGAATCACAATTTTATTCCCTCTTTTATAGACAGATACATTTTATACAGTTTAAAGCAAATGACCCTACTGCTGTTCTCACGCAGAGCTGTGCTGTATTAAGAGGTAAAAAGAAAGAGAATTAATCAGTTTTCCCTCAGTATATGAATGTTGCCAGCTTCTAAAGGGAGGACGGTGTATGGATTCAACAACAGTTCTCATGGAGAAGCTCTGGTTAGGCCTGGGTACAGCACCACGGCTGTCACAGCAACCAAAGCTGCCATCACAGGCATCCAAGGCCATTGTCTCTGTGTGGAGAGAAAAAAAAAATCAATATCATATTTGTTCTAATTCATACTAATCAGTTTACCTCGTGGCTCCTGAAAGTCCTGAGTACCTGTTGATAGGCATCACTAAAACGTTATCCATGAGCCCTACTGTTTCTCTAGCAAAGGGAACTCCACAACTCTTCACGGCTGAGGTTCCTCAGGAGAACTTTGTCAGTTCCTCATTTCCAGCTTCATTACTGCACACACCTCAAAGAAATCTGCTATTACACGTGTGAGGGCTTAAGATGTCTAAAGCATCACTTGTGCTCAGTATTCACTAGACGCAGGTTTATGCAGTACGGACATCTTTAACTTAGTTTTTGTATATTTAAATCCAGATCCATGAAGTAAGTTTGTAGCAGATCTTAACAATGTCATTTCTAATGGACTGTCACAACGTTTCATGACAACGATAGCATTTTGAGAGGAGGACACACCAAGAGATGTTACAGAAAATGCAAGCTGAGAGTTCAGAATAGAAACCAACCACCTATTTCTCATCTTGTCTTGCTTTCCATCTTCATCATAGCAATAGTGAGAAAAATGAAAGTGTTTAGAGCCAGAGAGGAATTTTAGTCCATAAATAGGAACCAAAGCTTGTTGATTTTTATTATTCTTTAGAGGCAAACTCTTCATTTTTCATAGTTAATTAAGCAATTAAGTTTTCTTACAGGCCCTAGCATCACAGCATTGTGCAAAAGGCAGCTCATTTGCTAAAGACAAACTGAGTTAGAAGAGGCACATTCAGAACCAGTTAGAATGAAATTCTTGTTATAATTAAAGAAATCAGGCAGATGTTAAATTATTAGTTGATCGCTCAGCTCATCAGTATCAACGGTACGGTGTATTAAATGAAGGGTTTGCTTCAGGTAAAGGAGTACCTGTGAGCATTCCACCATGCACTATTTTATACAGAAATGGCACGAACAGGTGAGAGGGACAAACATACATTGACTGAACAGTAGTGCTTGTACCTTTCGCTACCACAATGGGCCGTAACACCAATACAGGAAAGCCAGGATTAGGCCGATGAATACGGCTGGGACGGGTTGTAATATGGAAGGCTAAAGAAGGGAAGGGATATTAAAAATCACTTTGTGCTATAAATCAATCAGGTAAAGATGATTTAGAGAGGGGAAAATAAGTCAGTGAGTTTTGATTTAATCAAAATGTATTAAAGACATCTAAGACAATACAGCATTATCTGATCTGGTATACAAAGTTAGTACACCGTTCTACTCAAATGAACAGGGACGTTTAAAAATAAAGGGAAGGAAGCAGAAAATGTTCTAAGAAACCTCTTGTTACAACTCAGGATTTCGCACTTAGAAACAATACAAATCTTAAACTGATTTGCCTGTATCTTATTTAGAATTGTTTTTAGTTTTTCTAAGTGATAGGAAATCCCATCTGGATTTCTTACAGTAGAAAGACTCACACCTGATACTGAATTTTTCAACTCCTTCTTCATTCCTTGCTAGTTAGCCTTTCCCACTTTCCATCACCAGCCGCCAGGAAAAACAATTTTTTCCCTCCATTAGTGAATCAATTACAACTATGTCCACAGGCAAACCCAGTAGTTCAGACATTTCTGTGAGATTGTAACATGGCTGTACAATCAACAATGAGTTATTATAAAGCAGGGAAGTTCATTTCAGAGATACCACAATGAACAGCATCTCTGGCAGGTCAGCAGCCCTGCGACCAAATGCAATCCTGAAAACCAATCAAATGCTGCAGCTGGGCCAAACTACCAGCTGGCAAGATTCAGAGCTTGTTTAGCTTATGGCCTCATTAGAACCATCTACACATTTTCTCTGCTACATTCCATTACCTGTAAACTACTTTGCTTCACATTCTAGATGGACAGCCTCTATGCTTAGTATAATAAATTAAAAGCAAAAATGGACCAAAATATTTTTTAAGCTGCCCTGGGAAGACATCTGCTTTCTCTGTATCATAGCCAATATACTCGTGCACACACAAAGACACACAGAAGGTTAAGTTCAAACCATGCTAAATATTTTAAGAACTTTTTTGTGCTGAAATCACCTTGATTTTGTTCAGTCAAATATGTAATTAATGTTTTAAGACTTTCAAAAAGATTGTGATTTGTAAATAAAAATCTCATCTTGTTATGAATTAGTAGAAGTCACTTAATCATAGAACCTCCAATATGGTTCAAAACAGGAATCTTAGAATGTATTCTAGTCTCTGCCATTCAATTCAGATTTGTTTTAATCAAGGCAAATATTTAATAGCAAAATTATGTGTAGCTACTGATGTCATTTTCATGCAAGATCATTTTTGTGTCATTGGTGCCACAAATCAGAGTGCCACCTTCCCACAGAAAGCACGTTGGTAGAAATCATCACAGCAATGTTCAAAAAAGTGCCAGAAGTTTAAGTCAACCAGAGCCACTAATGTTCTCAAACCGTTCACAAAAATAAATCTGTCACATAAAGTGCATCAGAAGCCATCAGTGACTACAAGCATGCAAGCACAGGTAGCACACCACACTGCTCAGCATTTCAGAAAAGCACCACAACTTTTTTTAAAGTATAACAACAATATTTAAATGTTATCTCAAATGCAGTACAGAAGCCTTGTCTTTTCTAACATTTGTTAGTTCAGTGAAAAATTCAGTGGATTTATTTATTTTTAAGTTACACATTTTCATAGCTGTTGAATCTTGGTAAAAGGAACAGATGACAAATATCCACCACATTAAATGAAATAGCCTCTAAAGGATTAAACTCTCCCCTTCGTGAACTTATGGATATATAGTAAGGCTCCTTATTATTGGGGAGCATTTAACTAAGTGCTTCATCAAAAATTCCATCTTGTATTAGAATATGGAGATATAGAAACTCAGATACAGAGAGGTCACAAAATGGAACAAATCCCACAGTGGGAAGTCACTTTCTGTGGGATGCTGTCTCAGAAATGAACTAGCAGACAACGATTCCAGCATAAGGGGACAGCGGTACTTGAAAAATTTGACCTTAGAGCTCAGCTCAGTAACCACGATGCTGCAAATAATCCACACAATAGATATGTTTTACATTAATGACTGTGAGTAATGCTTGCTTGAAGAGCAAGCTTGTCCCAGGTTTTCAAATGGTTAGATGCTCTTTATCATACCCTGGCCTGTCCCCATCCCTGGAGACATTCAAGGTCAGACTTGGTGAGGCTTTGAGCAGCTTGACCTATTTAGAGATGTCCCTGCTTATTGAAGTGGAGTTGGACTAAATGACCTTTGGAGGTCCCTTCCAATCCAATACATTCTATGACCTCCAGGTTTCAACTGTCAGAACTCCTCCTCTGGATGCAGATTTTGGCAACTGCTGTGGTTCCCAATTTCATTTAAATATACACGTCAAATTCTTCCTAATATTTCCCTTAACTTACATGCTTTTCCACTTTCATCGGGTGCTCCGATTCCCTTCAGAGTATTTCTTCCCTCTACTACTCCTCCTCTTCCAACTGTCATTTTAATTCCAAGGTTATTGTTTTTAACAGAGTAGAAAATCTCACATTCGTATTTATTTAGTGTGATCTCTTCTTTTAAAATGGGATTTTTTTGTTGTTGTTTTTGACTTCCAACTACTTTAATAACTCAGTATTATCTGAGCACGGCAGAAAGATTCTAAGCAAGAAGCAGGTTTCAAGAGAGTTAGAACATCTTATTCCTGAAAATATGGCTAAAAAAAAACAATGAAAAGGGCTTTGAATTTTTTATATCTTAGACAGCTCTACTATGTTAGAGTTTTACATTCAGTAATTAGTTACAGCAAGAGTATTCATAAAATCTTTGGGCATCTAGAAGCCAGCTATCTTCGATTATTCAACCTATGAAACTTTCTTTGCAAAGAAATAGTTTTCTAAAAGGCTATTGCAGAGCATCCACTACCCTCCTGTTCTGTACTGTCCACTACAGGAGTTAGTGGACAGTAACTCCTGCACTGATCATAGAGGCAGTACAGGAAGACATAAATGAGACATCTCAGGGTAGTAAGGCATCTAAAATTAGGCTATGACTACCTTATAACATGTCTGCCACATCCTTCATATTTGGAGAATTTCACAAGTCTCAGTATAAAAAAAGTTGTCCCTAGCTGTAAACTCAAGACCCAACACTATCTAATTGCAACAGAAGAGTATTTTCATTCTTGAATAGGAAGGACAGTTCGACTGCACTGTATAAAGCACGAGCCAATCAGGGATAACCACTGTTAAGAAGCATGAGTAGGAGTAAGGAGGGAACAGTTCTTGTAATGAATACTAATAATATATAAGCACTTCAAAAAAGATTGCTTAGTTCATTTGGATAGTTTTTTTCCCCTCAGCCTTTACTCATGTATCATTCTCTGAAACAGAAGTTTTACTTAGTTCTGGTTTATTAGTATTTAAGCCAGATGTTTTCAACAAAGCAGATATCTAAGACCACAATTAAAAATGTCACACTACTGTAAAATTAACTTCTGTACATAATTGTAACAGTGTGAAGATCTGCAAATTTCCACAGGTAGTACCAGAATGGAATTTTGCATATAAAATGGCACAAAGCCTTTTTTTTTTTTAAATCCATCCTTTTCTGCCTGACACTTAACATATTCCCTTTGTCAACAGAATTGCCAGTGTCAAAATGCAACTTCCTATTTTGTAGAGACTTACATTGTTTCCTTTTTCTTGTAGCAGCTTCAGGTTTTCTTTACATTGTTTAAGCTCTTCTGTGAGTGACTGGTTTTCTTGTTCAGCCATTTCATACTTTGCCTTCAGCTCCGAGAGCACAACCTGTGTTTTTTCATACTAAAGAGAAAGAGAGAAGTCTGTGGACTCCTGGACACCCAACACATGGTTACATTTCTTTAGTGCACAGCTTCCACCCCTGTGATCTGCCTAGAGTAACTCACCTTGGATTGCTGTTATCTTTTAAAAAAAGCAGGGTAGAAAAATCTTAGATTTTTTTTTTTTTCTTTTTCCTAAATGAAGATTATTGTCCTTGACTTTGAAGGGTTAGGTTTACCAAAAACCAAGGAAATACTAAGTAAATATTAAATATTAAGTAATGACACAAATAATTACACATCATATTAGAAAAGACTGTAAAAACTATGAGGACAAAACAAGAAACAGACGAATAAGGAGTCAAACTCTTCCCACATAGCAAACTCAAACGTAATAGTAAGAAAGGCAATAGAAAAAAAAAAATTATGCCTTACTAGTATCATGCCACAATCCTCAGTGGGTCAGGCACAAAAAATACTGGGTGAATGTGTCTTGCATTACTGCCATATGGGCAACTTCTTTCTCAAACTCAAAATTTTTTTTCTTTAGTTCACAAGCTTTCTAGTACTCCCCATGGCAGGGATTAGTAAGGGCAGAACCAATGACTTTCATTACTGCTATTTACCACAAATTTAAAAGATTAGATATATTTGTAAAGATGCCTACTAAGACTGTTTTTCAAATTCTGAAAATGTTAAGGAATGTGCCATAGATGAATTAATGGCAGAGCAAAGAAAAGGACTACAAAAGAATCTAAAAGCACTGACTGGGGGAAAGTTCACTCAAAATGCTCCTAAGAAAAAGTGAGTAATTGTTGGAGCCTATGGCCTTCTTCCAGATGTAATTTGGAGAGGCTAGGCAGATGAAATACATGCTCAAAATGCTGGCTTTTCCTTACGCACTTGTTAATCATCCTGGGAAGCCTGGTGATCCAGTAAGATGAAAGACAACCTTTGTAAAGAATGTGTAGTCCCATTGTCAAGTAAGAGGTTTAAATCTACCTAGAAAGATCAGACTGACTACAGAGAATTAATTTTGACCCATAACAGCTAATGGAATGCTACACCACAACGGTTCAGGAAGACTCTGAATAAGGATTTACCTGTCTGAAGAACTTAAAAGTAAATTCACTAAGGTAATGCACCTGAACAAATTTTAGGAAGGTCTCAAAACACATGCAAGTCATTTTATCTGAAATATCCCCGTTTAGATTTAACCCTCAGTTTATATATTGTTAGATATCATTAAAGTACTTGCAGTAAAAGTACGAAAAATTCACATAAAGTCTTACATTTTCCCTTTTAGCTCAAAAGACAAAATCTTTGGGCATTATATTCTCTCAAAACAGAAATAATGTCTTGTGTTACCTCTTTCTGAACATCTTTTGCTTGACTCTCAGCTTCGTTGAGTTGGCTTTTTAGACTAGCTGCATCTCGTTGATGTTTTTCTCTCAAAGATCCCATCTGATTTTCAAGTTCCTTTCGAGACATTTCAAGAACACTTATATCACTGGTTAGTGCTAAACTCTGTTTCTGAGAGCTGAAAAACAAAATTCAATTGATTCCTCATGTGTTTTAAATTTAAACAAAGATTTTTTTTTTAAAGCACTTTTAATCCTCCAAATCTTAACACAATTTTCATTTATTATGGAAATATCAGCCCAGAGCAATCCCAGAAAAACAGATCATTATTGTCTCCCTGTACAAAGTATTGACACAAAGGGCTGGCCACTGTCTTGCTTTTAAATATATGTGCACAGCCTAGTGTGTATAATTAATCATAATGTATAATTTAAATAAATCATTCATAATTTTTAATTTATTATTTTACTTTTTATTATTCACTAAGTATTTTACATACGTCAAAGTATTTTGAAACAAATTTATAATGAGAACTCTGCCCAAGGCTGTCTGAAGTATTTCACTTATTTGTACATATGCCTCTACTTACTCCAGTTGTGTGAGCTAATTGCTAGTATATTCTTCAAGTATTTAGTGCAATAGCCATAGAAAGCTCTAAATTAAACCATTACAAACTTCAGTGTAATAACCAATGTTAATTTGTGCCTATGCAAGATGAGAAAATATAAGGGAGAGATCTTGCATATCTCCATTATACAAATCCTGTTATTTGCTTGTGGGATTCACAGAATGTTAGGAGTTGGAAGGTACTTCAAAAGATCACCTAGTCCAGCCCCTATGTTGGGATATGTTCCATATGAAAAAAAAAAAAAAAAGTGTGGAAATCAGGGTTTGGTGGAACAAAAAAGAAAGGTTTGATTGCTGTAAAATAACACATTACTCCTAGAAATATATTACTGTAGGAAATTTCCACTTTTTCAATTGGATCTTGCAACAGTGAGGAAGCCAGAATTAAAAAACCAGGTATGTAAGCATAACAGTAAAATTCAGGTCTACAGTAAAACAAAGCTGCTGTCCCATATTTACTTTGTGAATTAAATTCCAATATCTGAAACTGAAAAACAACATAATAATGGCAGATAAATGGATAAGAGGAGAAGCTACTTCCAGGTAGAAGACTTAGATAGCCTTTAGCAATGTCATGTGCTCAAACAGCAAAAATACAGGAAAATGCATATACTCCTGCACTCTAAAATCCCTCCCAAAAGACACTATGGTGCTGGCGATCAAGATTTCTATTTTTCTGTTAAGCAAAACATGACACAGAATGCTGTTTCTGCCCTTCATTACTAATTATGATGTGGCAGGTTTCCAAGACACACACACCATACTATCTGGAAATCATTTGCCAACACTGAGAAAATTTTAGGTAAGTATATCTATGTGGTTTTTTTTCTCTTTTAAGTAGAAGGATAACTTAAATCTAAAAATACTTCTACAACGCATGCTTCTAAGTCCTTATTAAAGCAGCAAAATAATTCAGGTTATTTTGTGACAATATAACATGACTGGTAACTAATGCAGAAGCATTTGCAAAGTAGAAAAAAATAGGCTGGTATAATAATTTGGCATGAAAGTGTGTTTATCCCAACACTATAATATACATACAATTTCAATACATTTATTGAAACATCATCAGACATTTAGTGCCACAACGACAAAAAAACCCAAACAATCACCAAAAAAAACCACAACAAAAACCTCTTCAGCTACTATGACAGCTCCCTAGCCAAATCCATTGTGTCCTTACCTAGAAAGTTCTTTCTCCTGTCGCTGAAGTTCAGATGCAAGCAAGGTATTTTCCTTCCTTAGTGTAACACACTCAGCTTCCAGAGCATTCCACTCTGCCTTCAACTTTTCAAGTTCACCTGCAATAAATAACATTTAATCAAATCCAGTAAAATAATTTCATGGCTGCTTCAAGTATCACCAGCTAATAAATGGAGGAAAAGCTGGTGTCAGTTGTAAATCTCAAATATAAACATGTCACACAAATTCTCTCACCTAGAAAACATGACAATATTTTCTGTTACGAGGTTTGTGAGCCATTAAACAAACCAGTGCTTAGTTTTTTTTGCAAGCTTTTTTCTAAAGCACAAAGTAGAAGAAAACGGTCTGTTTAGAGCCTACTCCAGTATTTTAGAAATACTGACAGAAAAGTCAGTATTTGAAAAAAATAATTTCCCACATTTGAAAACAGCAAGCACCTAGAATCAAAAGATACCACACCTCTGCTACAGAAGAGAATGCTTTACAGAAGATAATGCTACAGAAGCAGAATGTTTAAAGCAATAACTAAATGGTGAAAATTATATATATCAGTCCCTGGTGGAATAGATAGAAAGTAATACTACATACATTTTAGTTATAAAGTGACAGAGGCCGGAGTCTGAACTGGAAAAAGACTTCTCTGACAGCTTCACAAAGACTGATTCAGTATGTAAAATGTATTTTACATATGCCAGTTTCTGTGTAGCATATACAAAGTTCCAGCATGAGCTTTTGACCTCTGTTAGCAGATTCGCCAAGACCTAAAGCTATAGGCCTGGAGTAGTGGCTCACAACTCGACTTCATGACACGTGGGTGCATTACAGGTAAAGTGAAATGCGAATGAACGAACCTAAAAGAAGCCCTATGGTGGCTCCACACAATGCATTTGTATATCTCTACATCCTGCTTCAAGAATAAACTTTAATTTTAAATTTGTTAACATTTTTATTTTAAAAATGAGACGGTATCAGCAGTTTTAAGCCATAAAATAGTTATTTGTCTTAAGTGAAGCTTTGCAAGAGAAATTAAAAGGTCAAAAGCTACCCATTTGTGGGCTTAAATTATACAGAAGTTACACAAATCCTTTGGGAACTCTGTGGCAGTATCAATTGCTCAAAATTACAAGTTTTTCATCTTTTCTTAGTAGAATTACAATCTACTCTTGATATCAAAGGGTACACAAGCTAATTTAGGCGAAATTGACAGTTACTATTTAAAGAAGTATAGAAAACAACTTTCGTAACACTATAAGCCTTGATACACATATGTAAATACACATATACATACACCTAGTAATTGACTACAACCAGAAAGGCAAATAATGATTTGAGAAACTGACATTCATCAAATTGAGAAGGATGCTCCTGCTAGTCTGTGACATCCTTTTAAATAAGTACCTTTTAAGCGAGTAGCCTCTTCCTTCTGCTGATCCTCACACTGCTGGCACCTGAGCTGAAAGCTGGCTTTCAGACTCACTATTTCTTTTTCATATTCTGAGGCATCTTTCCGCCACCGTTCGAGTTCCGCTCGCACTGTCTGCAGCTCGTCTTGCAATGCACAAATATCTGTATCTCGTTCTGATGCTGTTTTTTCAGCCACTTGTTGAAGTGACAGAATCTCATTTTGAGCACTGACTAATTCACTTCGAGTGCTTGAAATTTCGTTCTCCTTTTCCTCTCGAATACTCTCAATATCTTCTTGTAACCTTCGCAACTGAGCTGGAGAGCAGACATTAATGTCAATATTTTTAAAGACTGTATTTACATAAAAATCTAAAAAACTTAACTGCCTTTCTCAACTTGTTTATGTTTAATAGGACTAAAAAATCCTAAAGCAACTGAAAAAGATACTGATCTTGTCAAATGTTGTATCCTTAAAGAAATATGTACATGTGGCTATGTATTACAGAGAGCCAAAAGAAATTAGATTTATGGTTGGACAAAGCTTTCTTAGGGTTGTGTTATGTATGTGTGCAATATTTAAGCAACTCTCTAAAATCTGAAACGAAGATTTAGACCCAACTTCACTGTAATCAAAACAAGGACACTGGGAGGTTCAGGGGCAAGAGGAAAAGCAAGAAAGCTTCTGTGACAGACCCCAATTTTCAAAGTCCCACTCTGGGAATGTTTGCCTGTTCACCAGTTAAGTTGTCTATAAATATTTGAGGCCCAGAGTGTCATTTCTAGTCCAGTCTCAATACGTAGTAAAGGAAATAAAAATCACTTCTTTGCAAAAAGCATTTTCAAAGCAAAAGATGAATTTTGAATTGAAAGGGACAGCTGCACCAGATACACTGAACTATAAGAAATCCTTTAACATTTACAGCTTACTGTAAGTCAGCACATGCTGTCAGCAGCAGTCTCATACACACTATGCTATTTTACCTTTCTGCATGAAGCAAACCTTATAAATTATTCCCATTCAAAACTGTTTCATTATTAAACAACTATTCTCTGAGTACAACTATTTCATAACAGTTGAACAAAGTACAGTCCAGAGGAAAGGGCATTATCAAAGACCAGCAAAATTACAGTTCATCCATACGGCTCATTCACTCCCAGTGATGGAAGCAAAGTGCTTAACATGCTTTGTGATTTTGTTTTGCTTCTTAAAGAACATGTCAGAGTTCACATGTGTTTTATAGATTCTTAACATGGGAAAATATAATTACTTAATGAAGCATGTTCTGACAAGAAAAGAGCAGAGTTGTTAATATCACTTGAAAACGTAATATAAGATAGTGTAGAGGGTCAGAATGACACATATTCCACGCTTCAGAAGCAAGGGGCAAAAAGAGGGCAGTGAAAAAGCACGGGGAAGATAACCAAGGCTGAGTAACCTTCATGAATCACTTTTATGTGTTTTTGTTCTCTTAATCCATTATTACAGAAGAGGACACAGAACATGAGCAAGTCTTGCCATAAACTGCTACAGCATTAGAACTGCTCATGAGAGACTTGTATTATCATGACAACTCTAACTGATGTTTTTCAGTAGCTACATATACAGTAGTATAGGTAGAAATCATATATAGGTATAATCTAGAAATTCTGCTGTTAGCTGATGTCCAGTGAAAAAAAATGCAACTTTTTTTCCTCCCTCCTTTAGGCAGGCTCCAGCAAGACATTTAGCTCATTAGATAAAGAACCTATGAATTACCCAATTACACACTCTGAATGAAAAAGACAGTATGGGGAAAAAATATTATAGTTATTACATATTGTAATACAGAAGAGCTATTACAGACAACAGCAAGTTAGATTTCACAGTAATTCTGTATATGATTCATCAGTCTATCCGCTCCATAACAACATTTGTAGTATTATGGATTTTTAAATGTCTGTGAGCAACATGAGACTTATTATCACCTTATTTGTTTGGAAATAGTTCCTACAGGCTTATACTAAAAGAAAAGCAACCTAAGTAGTAGACAGCAGCAACCTGCTAGTAAAACAACACGTTACATATTAACAATTGCCTCTGTGTGTATCCTTACATTAGAAGCCTTGACCCTACCAAATCAATACACCAGGAAACCACATTTCTAAACCACCAAGAATTATGACTTGTTAACACAGCAGGAGTCTGTTAATGAGCAAAGGAATTCGTTTTTCAAATCATATCCTCCCAATACTATTTTCTTTATCAAGCCAAG